ACACACACACACACACACACACACACACACACACACACAGTGTTAGCATGGTAGAAAGAAAGGACAGTCGTGGAGTTGGATGCCCCAGAGACCGTGTGACTGCCATGAAATGTAAAGAGGCTACAGGAAGGTATTGGCCGACGTGAAGCTGAGGGCAAAGTCACGCCCTCTACACAACCTCCATGCAGGCACATACATCACTCACAGCTACACCTACACACTGGAGAAGACAGGAGGCATTTGGAGGACAACACTAAACACACACAGGAACAGAGGGCAGCAGGTCGGACTCGGCCTGTAGGGGATTCTTTACTGAACTCAAGAAAATCAACATCAAAGATGAACTGACAACCTCCGACTTTGGAGGTTTGACTGTGGAGAGTCCTTACAGAAATAACAGAATGATAGAGGAAGCCCTGAACGTGTTTGGAATAAAGTATTTCCCACCAATTATACCACACTGACAGAGATGAGAATATTAGATTGATTTCTGACACGGTAGAAATGACATGGACGTGTTAAAAAATAAAGTGGTGTAAGATGGACACAGAGGATATAGAGATGAGTACAGAGAAACTGACAGATGCAAATACACAAACAAAGGGACAAACAGATGTTTGTGCGTTTAATTCATGTTTGGTTTAGATTTGGTTGGAATGAAAACCTGCAGACAACAGACCCTGACCACGAGAGAGACTGTTCTTCTTCTCATTGGTAGATAGCTGCATTAGTGTTGACACTACTAGTGTTTCTCTTCCATCTGGGACCCTGTAATGCTTTCAAGTGAAACACATGAGCTGGAAACAGGAAGAGGTTTCCCTCATTAGTTCTGACCTGTGCAGACTCTTCCTCCAGTCGTCTCTTCTCGTCCTCAGAGTCCACGAGTTTCTGTTTGGTCAGCAGCAACTCTTTGTTCAGGGCGTCTGCCTTTTCCTCGGCCTGTCACACACAAAATAACCCAATGATGATGAGGTCACTGAAAGTTAGAGTTGCCCTACTTTCATCTCAAGCACTCTCTCTCTTTTCAAGCTTAGTGAAAGTATGAAACACACAAACACATAATTCTCAGAGCGTAATTCAAGTTTCAGTTTAAATAAAGTTGTTGCTCCACGTGCGTGTTCCTGTTACACAAACTTATTTACAATTTTACTCTCCCTCACATCGTTTCAGTTCTTGCTAAATTGTTGCCTCATGAACCACATGACTTGCCTGTTAGTTCTCCTACAGTCACGTTTGTGGTACACGCAAAATTACACAAGCACATTCTTTATCTTTTGCTTACGTTGTCAAGGTCTTTACGCAGAGCTATCTTGCTGCTGACGAGTTCGTGTGCCAGGTCGTCGTTCTCCTGCTCCAGACGCATGTTCGCCTCTTGCAGACGACGGTTCTCCCTCTGGATACAAGGAAAGAGAGGGAGGAAGAAAAGGCGGCAGAGGAGAGACAGACAAGATAAAATGAATTAATAAACAATGGTGAAAGAGTGGAGAAGAACAGTTGCATCATATGTACAGAGAGAAGTGAAGGGACGTGAAAGAGGAAGGACAGTTAAGAGAGAGCAGAGCAAGGAAAGGAGTAAATCATGAATGTGAAAGAATCTCTTCCTGGCAACATTATCCAGAGTGAAACTGTGTGACAGTAATAGTTAACTGTGATCAGGTGAGAGCATAATTACACAGTAAGAGCTGACGGTAATGTTTAACTGAGCACAACCTGTTTGTATATAATTATATAACAGAAACAAACAATTTTATGAACAGATCACTGAAATACACACGTATTTGTTTTTCCAGGGTGACAAGAATAAGAGTTAAATTAAGAAATCTTCAAATGTTCCTATTTTCAAGCACTAGCTGTGCATTAAATTTCAATGTTTACATCCAAGATACAGAACCACAAAGTGTGTTAGAAGAAGTGCAGCACATTGTTAAACCATATGAATGTGGCTTGTACTGTAAAGCCCTTCCACTGACTAGAAAAGCATGATATAAATGCTGTCAATTTACTACAGACAAATTTCCTGCTTATCATTGTGTGTGTTGAACCACTCATTCTGTTATCAGTTTGAAACTGTATGAAAACGGGAATAAAGCAGCATCAATATAACTGAGTGATGTAAACTGAGGGAGAACAGAATTCAGATTCATTCAGTAAAGCAGAATGTGAAATGTCTTCATATGCTGATGATGAAGACTGAACAGACTGGCTGAAGCAATTATGTTTTGGTGTAAAGCTTGAACGTATAAAAATATAATAACAGTTTTTGCACACTGAAGGCATTTTCAAGAGCAAACACAGAAGAAGTTGAGTCACAGTGACTGATGATGTCGGACTGTATACAACCAAGCCGTTACCCTTGAGATGATCTATGACATTGTACAATTAATGGCTTTTTCTGTGCTACGTAGTTTGTCTTCTAGAACAGGGACTGTCAAAGTCTACAGTAAATAAAGTAGGTTTACTCTGAATGTTGTTGTTGTTGTGTTAACACATTTATCTTAATTGAAAAATCAATGTAATACAGAAGAAAACTGAACCCTGTAATGATGCATCCTTATTTAGATTACAACAATACTATCTGATTAATAGTAGCATTATCCTTGTGAAAGAGTTGTGAGATCACAGACGACTTTGAAGACTTTGGATTTATCTCTCTGCAAACTTGCTTGTTTTCTTTAAGTGCAACAAGTGTGGATGCAAAGGTTCCTGCTCTTTTCACAAGAACCAGGTACATATTCCAACAACTTGACAAGATGGAATTTAATATCTCGCAGAATTCCAAATTGTTAATGGTTAATGTGCATGTACATAAAGGCCCATGATTATATCCACCTCGTATCTCTCAATAGGGGCCTCCTGCTGCTCCTGCTGCTCCCTGATGGTGTGATACTCCTTCTCAAATTTCTTCAGCTTCTTCTGGCTGATCTGTTGGGGGGAGAGAGGAGAAAAATCTGAATCACACGTACCGAGAGCAAGCACAAACATACAAATGAGCAAGAATGGGAATAAAAACCAGTCTCTGGCTGCCAGAGGACTCATAATAATCTTTAGTAAACAAAGACACAGGATTCATACTGTTTGCTGGACTGCAGCGTTCTTTAGTCCAGCATTGGAATGAGATGTCATTTTTACATATGCAGAGATTTCCGATGTGAATTCTGTTTGACAAGATGATTCAATGAGATTTCTCTGTCCACACAATCCAAAGTTACTCATGTAACCAAACAACTTGGTTTTGCGTTTAAGATGTAGAGCTACAATATCCAGAAATAGAGAATTTAAGCATTTTGAAATAGAACTTTTCGTGCAAGCCCCCCCGAGTAAAATGCTTTGGAAAACATCCAGGTGATCCATGTTAGAATACAGCAGGAAACTCTGTGCAATGATCAAGTGGACGTGTTCACGATGATTTTCATGAGACGGAACAGACGAAAATGAAGATTTAAAGAATCTCAGGATAAGAAAAATGAACATAAAGTTCAGAGAGTTTACGTCCACTGGTTCACCTCCAATCAATCAGTCTCCCATTTAAAAACACTCGTTACATTCATGCCTACAGCTGCACTTTGCTCGTACACACACACACACACGCACACACACTGCAGTTAAGCAGCTTCATCAACGGGCCTTTCACTGCCCAGCCACTGCCTTAGATTGGCTTTTTAAAAGACAGCTACTATACAATGAACAGTATGAGGCTGATTTTCTGTATGAAAGAAAAAACCAACACTGTCTGCTAAGACATGTCTGCCCTTTCTGTGACTGTGACTGTGTCTAGTAACAGCTGCAGCATCGAAGCTGTGTTGCGTGCATGTCTGCCTGTATGTGTTACAATCTCAGGTTTGATGATCTAAATGCTCCCAGCACTCATCACTTACTGACGTTGGCAGAACTCAGACTGCATGGCCCACATGTTGTCGTGCTGTAAGTGCTTGTGTGTGTGTGTGTGTGTGTGTGTGTGTGTGTGTGTGGTCTCTTAAGTGTATTAACTCTGCTCTATAAATGGAAGACAGACACAAGAAAGAGGTCAATCAGGGCAGGACTCTTCCATTTTTTTCATGGTCAAGCTGATACTGTGTGTAGCTGTTCACCATATAATCCTATAAATACTGTTGAAAGTCAGAGCACTATGGGGTGGCCTTAAAGAGACGGAAAATAAGCACAAAGCTGCAGCCGTTCATGATTTTTATTTAACTCCCTCAGACAATTTGCATCCATCAGCTTTAAAAGCCAAAAGGTGTGACAACTACACACTGAGACAAAATAAATGATCCTGGTTCGACCTCAAGATTGTCTCCTGAATAAATTATGTGACCTGACTGTCGTTTATAAGTGTTTTGTCTCATATTCACCAAAAATCTAATGACCTTCAACCACAATTACAAAGTAAATGGTGGATAGGAGTTTTCCACCTACCACTTGAACTCACACATGCAGACTGAACACTACTACTAGAGTTAAAAATAGATGCCACGTCCAGGCTCATTTATGCTCAACTTCAGATACATATACAGAAGTGGGTGGAGCCTTCTGTCTGTATTCTGATTTAATATAAAGCTTACAGATACGGACCGAACAGATGGGACGGAGCAGCACCACCACAAATGAGAAACTACAGCCATCAATATGCAGCATGTTTGCTGTTGACACAAACTGTTGACTCTGTGCTGCCCTTTAGTGGATCGATGCTTAACAACCATGTCAGTGTGAACGACGCATTGAAGCATGTGGGCAGTGACGGTTATATGGTGTGAAATAGATGCATCTCTTCTCATGGGTTAAAGCAGCATGTAGCTTTACTGATACTTTAACCTCACAACCACTGTTTCTTTCCTCTATTGGAGACAGGAGGTCTACAATCCTGATTGTGCACTCTCTGCTTCCAGCGTAAGGATAATGATGCAGGGGAGGAAAAAGTCAACACCTTAAGGGTCAAGGACTATGATGTGTGACCTTAACCTCTCCTATAAAAATGAACTCTATAAATAATGCAGCCAATATCTCTCTCCGTGCTTTTTTCAGCATCAAAATGTACATGCATCCACCCTCAGCCTGGTCCTGTAAAGATTTGTGATCCAATCAGTATCGTCAGTCAGTGAGGTCACCAGTACTCAGAGGTCAGCAAATCCAAGACATCCAAGCTTCGGATTAGTCAACCTTCACTCAGATTTAATTTCCAGCTCCGACTGAACTGAAGTCACCAAGGTCAACTGGCTTCTTTGAGATAATTTCTCTTGCCAAATAATGCTCTGCAAATAACTTCTTCAATTTGCTCTCTTGGTAACAACATGAAAGTTTTTTATTCGAACGGGTGCAGAGAACCCCTAAAATAAAACCAAGATTTAACTTAATAGCTAAATAAATCATAGACATGTCAAACGAAGCAAAGGTAGCATATAGTATATAATTCTTCAAAAGAGGATTAGGGTTTAGCATTTGCCTCCAATTAGAGAGGCTCCTTCAGCTCAAACTCATGAACTGATGCTTTTAAAATTAGAAATAAAACTTCAAGGCAGCACAGCTACTCCTCTTGGCTTGGTTTTACTTCCACTGGATTTTCCTTTGCTGGATGAGCTTGTTGTGCATCTACCTGTTTCACTGGGGACCAAAAAGCTAAAATCTCTCTCCATGTAGGCTCCTTTACAGTTCTCATAAATATCTCTACCCAAAGTTACCTTCAAAGTCAGGCCCTCTAAACTAGGCCAGAATGTTCAAAACAGGTCAGGACACAGGTGTGTGTAAGTGTGTGTTTGTGGGTCCTTGTTTGTGTGTGTGTGAGAGTAGCATCTATTTAGTCTGTCTTAAAGTTCAACAGTGGCCCCTACTGGTATTTAAGTAGACATGTTGAGTAGGTTTGAATTGAGTGTCCTGTTAGAGATTTTTAAGTTAAGCACATTTAAGTTTATAATGAAGTTAATATAAAGTTAAACCTGATGTCTCTGTTTATATGATGCATGTGAGGGTGACATGTTCTGAGACTCTATTCTCTCCTTTTTCACACTCACCTTCATGCTACAGGCCAGCTCCATCAGCTTCTTTGCGTTTTCCTCAGAGCGGTACCTCTTGGGCACTGGGACGCGAAAGAATTTGAGTGCACCCTCAAAGTCTGTCTGGATCAGGTCATCTTTTGATGTCTGAGAAAAAAAAAGAATGAGATGCATGTTTATCAGAGCAGCAGATCTTTTTTTTCTCCTCCTCAACTGTTATGGTAAGTGATCTGCTTCTACCAGATGCTCTGGTTTTCAGTATTGGTGTGTGTGTGTGTGTGTGTGTGTGTGTGTGTGTGTGT